TTATATAAATCACATACTGAATCTCAAATGCTTTTTCATTTAGACGATTACCTCAAATATTATAGTATAGTAGAAACCAGCGTTTTTATATCTGATGACAAAATGATATTTTCACTTGATTTCCCTTTGGTTCACCCTAACACATTTGAACACTACCACCTTTTTCCAATTCCTAATCGAAACCAATCAATAATTATACCTCCTGCAACCTACATAACCTTGAGCAACGAAGACTATCAATACCACAACGAAGAATGCATTGAGCTTAGACCAAACTACCTCTGCAAGAAGAACCATCTTCTACCCCTTCGAGAGAACTTGGATTGCATTACATCACTTCTGTCTGCCGAAAGCAATTTAATCAGCTGCCAACAAGTTCCGATCCACGTCAGTCGACAGTTGATTGAAGAAATCAACGAATCCCATTATATTGGTATTTTCCCAGAAAATCAGAAACTCCATCTTGATTGCAAAGAAAACAATGTGGCCATAGTCCGTGGCACGTACCTCTTTGTTATTCCACCAGCATGTTCCATAAAAACACCAACCTACAGCTACAAGAATGAGAAGGGTGTCATTATAGGACATCCCATTTTATTGGAAGAAATCAAAGCTTTCAATATGACGACTCTTCATGTTGAAAAACTGCGAATCGAGAAAGTTTCCCTTGATAAACTACACGAGCTTCAACTACAACAACTACAAGACGAACCCCTTGAGACGATCAGCCTTCACAGAAGATATTCCCTATGGTCTATTGGGAGCGTCGCGACGCTTGTCATGTGCGTCCTAGCCTACCTATGCATCGCCAAAAAAAGCAGAGTCCAGACATGGTTTTGCAAGAAACGAACACAAGAATCCCAGAGGATGGCCATCAACGAAACTCAAGTTGTTCCACCCTCGAGTTCCTTCTAAGGGATGGAGGAGTTATGTGAGCAGCAACCCGGTTTCCCGTGAGAACCTGCTGACATCAACATCAGCAGAAATCCAACTTCAGGGAAAGAACGAAATGCCTTGTGAACCGCAATTCAGAATAGACATGATCTTGGTTGAGTAAAGACGTATATTTTTATATTGTAATAACTGATTGAATAAATAATTTTTGTCTATCGAAATATAAAGTGCTTTTTTAAAAAGCCTTTTCGGGAAAGTAAAAACATAAAGTGTGTCTCACTTCTGATGGAAACACCCCTGTATCTTACATAATCGTTGGTTAAGGATCCTGAAATTTATTGGAGCGCGAGATATACCAAAAATGCACTCTATGACCAAGTGGGGTCATCTTCAGTGATTTACACTGCTCGCGAACAGCCATGGAATCCCCAATTTCCGGAAAATTATATATTAGGAGTCAAAATAGGTTGAAAATCACTTCAGATCGGGATTCAGGACGCCCAATTGACTATTCATAATTTTCCTGAAAAAAATTCAGTTCTGAAAAATTCATTTTTGTCTCACTTTTCATGAAAACACCCCCGTAGTAGTATGAAGGAAATCGTTATCGATAATAATGCGTCAGAATATGGGAAATTAGTGAATTGGACATCCTGTTTTCGAGATGATTGTTAACCTATCTCTTGATATTATTTCAGGGACATGTGTGTAGTTCCACGGCTGTTGGCGAGCAGTATACACTGTGTCCATAAAGTCACCCCCCCCCTGGTTAACTATTGAACGGATGGGATTTTTTTTTTTTCAATTTTTTTTTGCTTCAATGATAGTTTTAGTGCTATATATTGTCCAAAAAAAAAAATATGTATCCTCCAAAATGGCGCCTGGGCGCCATTTTGGAAGATTTTTTTAAATGGAGTGGGGGGTCGAAAGATACCTCGATTGAAAGGTCTTTCGATTCTCTATACAACCTCAGAATCTGAGACAAAAATATTCATCCAAAACAAAATGGCGGATGATAACGTTTGAAATCTCACACCAGAATTCTTTCGACTAGATGGCTATTGAAGTGCTCGCATGTGATCTTCAAATCTCTATTGGCGTAAAGAAGAGTTCTCTATCTATGAAGATATCAATAGAAAGTCATTTTGAAGAGAATAGCATGGTAGTCACGTGGAATAAACATTGTTCATTATTTTGAATAAATATTTCTAAAATTTTGCAGAATTTGGAAAGACAATCGAGCAAAGGTATAATTGACTACCATGTTATTCTCTTCAAAATGGCTTCCTATTGATATCTTCATGGATAGAGAACTCTTCTTTACGCCAATAGAGATTTGAAGATCACATGCGAGCACTTCAATAGCCATCTAGTCGAAAGAATTCTGGTGTGAGATTTCAAACGTTATCATCCGCCATTTTGTTGTGGATGGATATTTTCGTCTGAGATTCTGAGGTTGTATAGAGAATCGAAAGACCTTTCAATCGAGGTATCTTTCGACCCCCCACTCCATTTAAAAAAATCTTCCAAAATGGCGCCCAGGCGCCATTTTGGCGGATACATATTTTTTTTTTGGAACAATATATAGCACTGAAACTACCATTGAAGCAAAAAAAAATTGAAAAAAAAAATCCTATCCGTTCAATAGTTAACCAGGGGGGGGGTGACTTTATGGACACAGTGTATATCACTGAAGACGACCATACCTGGTATATCTCTCGCCTTAGCAAATTTCAGGAGATACGGGGGTGTTTCCATGAGTAGTGAGACAAAAATGAAATTTTCAGAACTGACAATTTATTCTCCGGGAAAATATGAATTGTGAATTGGGGGTCCTGATTCCGAATCCGAAGTGATTTTCAACCTATTTCGACTCCTAATATCGTTTACCGGAATTCGAGGTGGTTCCGTGGCTGTTGACGAGCAGTGTATATCACTGAAGATGACCCCACTTGGTCATAGAGTGCATTTTTGCTATATCTCTCGCTCTATCAAATTTCAGGATCCCTACCCAACGAATACGTAATATACAGGGATGTTTCCACTATAAGTGAGACACACTGTATATATGTGGTATAAATCAGGGAAAAAAGTTCTCAAAGTTTTTCCTGAATTAATGAAATTAGATTTTCAATGGACAAAATCTTGAAATACCTGTACCTCCGTTACCTTAAATTTTTTACATAAACAGTTTTTGGCCAAACAACTAATTCTGGCGAGAGATGTACCCTGTTGAATGAAAATCCTCACTTTCAGATTCACCCTGTATATTGAAAAAAAATCGAAAATTGACTTACCCTTGCACCTCTGATCCTCTGATAGAAAAATGTTTAAACGCAGTGACATTTTGGGGCAACTAATCTAATTTATTTTGTCCTAACTACACTTACTTATATTGAAGTTATACCTATATTATTATTTTATAGAAACGAGAAGACAAAATCCGGAATAATCTAGCCAAATAAACATACTTACCTATATTCCTAAGCTCGGTATTTTCTAAACGAGTAGATCGATTTTTTGAAAAATTAAGCAGCAACGAATGGGGAATGAAAAGCCCCCTTCAATCTCCTTCAATGAGTTGAAGGTTTTACTCCCTGACCCCTGACAAACAAACTGTTCTTAGATTTTGTCAGAAATTTATTTCCCAGACAGCCTGTAATGTCTTACGGTACGATTTCTATGGGCCACCCTGTATATTAATGCATTGCACACAGGCTGGTTCACTTTGAAATGTTGTTGACGAAGCTAAAAATAGACATCCTAATAAAGTGACTGACAAACAAATGATTCTCTCACTTCAATAATCAAAAATGACCGTTGTTTTTACCGCGCAAATGTTTTTTGGGTTTGATTGATATTCAATGCACGAGCGTTTTGTAAACATGCCAAAATGTTGGTATATTTTGTTGAAACACGGAATAATGGATTGTTCTTGCAATCAGTGATGTAATTTACATTTTTTTCAAAAGGATTTTCTATAATTTGAGAAATAGTCTGGGACATATTGTATCCATATTATTTTCACATCATCGTTCAAAACGATAGTATTCCGAAATGTTCCTATCTCATCAGTTGACTGATATAGTAATCAATGCGAATCCAATAGATTCAAGAGAAATAAGATACAAGATAGGCATTATCTGGCACCTACTACAAATTGTATTACATATACTTTCGTAGTACCATTGACTAATCGTTATATTGTCAAATATTTCTATTTTTCCAATCCTTCTCTTCAAAAAATGAATCGATTTATAGATCAACATTGATCACGATTTTGAAAAATTTTCAAATTTCACTATAGTTTGGAATAGAATAGAATAATTTTGTTCCTGTCCATGTCGCAGATGTGTTTGCTTCTGTATATCGCAGCGATGGAACATTCTTAATATCGCAGTGTTGCCTAATCGCGACATCTCAGACTCAGAGATGTCATGTCGCAGATGTGTTTGCTTCGGTACATCGCAGCGATGGATCATTCGTAATTTCGCAGTGTTGCGTCACCGCAACATCTCAGAGATGCCATGTCGCAGATGTGTTTATTGCTTCTGAATATCGCAGTGATGGAACATTCGTAATATCGCAGTGTCGCCTCCTCGCGACATCTTAGAGATGTCATGTCGCAGATGTGTTTGCTCATGAAAATCACAACTATGAAACGGTTGTGATATCGCACTGTTACCTAAACACGACATCTCAGAGAGGTAATGTCACAGATGTTTTGGCTGAGATGTTCAGTTAATAATTTCGGGACACCCTACACGAGGGCGGCGTATGCAAATTCTTTCCGCAGTACCTATAATTTTGTTCAAATTTCAACAAAAACCAATTTGCATGCAGTCACCAATCGTTCGAAATCATCAATTTTCAATGCAAATTAAAGTTCGAATGGTGACGCCACTGCAGCGAGCACAATTAGATAATTGTCTAGGACTCTAGGACATGTTGAATGCATTAAGAATCTGTCATTACAACGGCAAATCTATATCGTTGATAGCTGATATGGCGGGAGCTACGCGTTACGCCCCTTCCACTCGATTACATATTATCATACATAATAGTTATAACATGCTGAGCAACAAATTTACAAGCAAAGTACTCACCACCAAACACATGCGTCTTGAAGTCCTCTTGTTCGATGTTAGAACCATGACCATTCGTGGCTATTGCTGTGGACATTTCTGGCGAAATCCTCACTTCTACACCTGCCACCTCAAGAAAACGAAAAGAAATCAGTTGATGCAGTATATTCGTCGGATATCAAAGTTGGTTAGAGATAAACTCGTTCTCTGGGGTATCTTGTATTTTGAACCGAGAAGAGGTCAAGGACACCGGACAACCGACTAAAGCCAGTAAGCCCGTTCCTACCAGTCTACCACACAGACTGAATATCCTGCAACAAGGACACGAGGAGTCGAGTGCATACGCAATGCAAATCAGGAAATCGCCATATACAGGATGTTGATTAATAAGTGCGGGAGAATTGAAAGGGGCGGGTTACATGGCAAAGTCTGTGGAAAAAGTAAATATAAAATAACCTACCGCGTTTTCGAGATGCTGGGTTACAATTTTTTCATTAAAAATCGTTTTAGGATTAATTAATTATTTACTCATTTCTCATAGGGTCCCTTGATGCAAACTGACGTATTTGTCATCTAACAGGATACGGACAGATCATAGCTCCTTTTTCTTTTAATCATCTAGTGACTTTGGTTCCGTGTATTGGCGTCCCTGACATGACATTGCTGTCACGTCACATTCATGAGAGATCTTCCAAAATTTTAATTTCATACTTGATCTTAATACGACATTCAATTCTGTTTTGGAAGGATAGTAAAATGTCCTGCGTTAGGCTGTATCAATCAGTTGGATGGCAAATTTGAATTTGTCAGCTTTCCATCAAATGCAAATGAACTTAGAACATGGAAAGTGAAGGGACCGAATGGGGAAAATTGGTAAATACATCAGCGAAATATTTGACGTAGAACTAATACGAAATTACATATCATACTTTCTCATTGTGCCTATAATTATCCACTTCACAAGTTTTTTAATGCATTTTGGTAGGAACAGTTTTGATTTAAACGGAGGATCAAAAGTGGAGGCATATGCCCTTCCATTTGAAAAATTATACCTACATTCAGGAAATATTAACTGCAAAAATGATTCCCAACATGAATATATACAGCACACATAACATATGAGCACATTAGTTCAAATACCTACATAACATTTTTCACCATTTCTCAACCATAAGGCTTAGTCTGAAATTAAAATCCATTTATTGATAGGTACTGCCTAAGAACAGTCCCATTTGGTAAAACGTATTAAAATTTCAGGAAAATTTGCTCACTGTCTCACAAAGATTATGCTGGAGTTGAAAAATCAAAAACTCGAAAATTGTCATCATCATATGGATATAATATGTAGAGTTGAATGAGAAATTACATGTGGAAATTACGTATGATACGCCAATGTCCTAAATATAACCTAAAGAACAACATATGTCAGAAATCTAGTGTTCATCTCCAGAAATGAATAAGGATGGAACTATATAACTGTTTCACAAACACTTTAGAGTGAGAGGAGACGAGGATATATCCGTACCCTGTTAAGATGACGAATACGTCAAATTACATCAAGGGACCCTAATTACTCATAGATTGTTCCAAAGGTTCCCTTTCGTTTTAGTCCCTCGCTGAGATAGTCGGGATGAATTTCACAAACAGTTCGTTCCCACCACTCTCCAAATCCGACGGCACATTAGCAACCACATCGTAAGAGAAAACAACATGTTTGCAAAGATGTTCGTACCAAACTATACTTCAGATTCCCAAGGAAAAGTGACGTCAGATATTCCACCAACTGGAGATCTACTTGCCTACTTTACCCATACATGACATTGAAAAAACATATCTAAAGTATTCGACCGTGTTTGACAACAATGTCTGATAATAACATTCCCACCAATTCAACTATATCTATTCTCTGTGTCTTCATCAACAGAACTCTTTCATGTGATTATCATATCAGATCCATCGCGAAAGCTGCTTCACAAAAACTCGGATTTTTATTCTGTGCAAAAAGGTACTTTACACCTCAACAGCTTCTCATGATTCACAAAGCAAAGACACGACCTGTTCTAGAATACTGTTCAGCACCCAAACAAACGCTGATGCTCTTAGATTCCTTCCAAGGAAGAGCCATTCGTCTGGTGAGTGATGCCACAGTCTCACACTGATCAATTCGTTGGTCCCATTAGAGCAATGTAGAAAAGTCGGCGACATTTCATTTCTCTACATATACTTCCACGGGAAATATTCCTAAGAATCCTCTGCTATAATTCCATCACTAGCTGATTTTTGCACGGAACAAGAATCCGTGTTTTTGTGAAGCAGCTTTTGCGATGGATCGGACATGTTTTTCCCATGAAAGATTATCACTGATGGTGATACCGAGCAAATATATGGTGGTCTTGGTGTGAATGGTGAGTACCAGACATGGTTATATCAGGCATGCTGAGTTCCGCCTTTCTAGAGAAAATACAGGCCTGAGTTTTGGTGGCGTTGAACTCAACTATAGGCCGTTGGTTCCTCAGACTGTAATTTTCGCAAGATCTTCATTGTTAGCATTGGCCTTCCTCTTAGTTTCCTGAGAAGAAATGGAAATTCTAGAAGAGAACTCAGTATGGAAAGTACTATCGTCTGCAAAGCTGTGGATAAGGCAAGTGGTTGCTCCCAATAGATCGTTGAGATGAAGTGGGAACAATGTTGTTGCCAAAATTGATCCTTGTGGAACGCCGGAGTTGATAGCAATGGTCCACCACCACAAGGAGCGATCTGCCTGAAAGAAAACTCGATAAAGATGGCATAGCTGAGTTGGTAAACCGGATGATGGTAGTTAGTGGAGCAGTCCTTGGTGCCAAACACGGTCAAATGCCTTCGATATATCTGACGCTATAGCCAAAGATTCCCCATGTATTTCTTATGATGAAGTTTAGCAAATATGGGTGACGTAAGCAAGTTGATCTCCACTTGATCTTTGGTGGCGGAAGCCATATTGTCTATCATCATAATGATTCCTTAGCTCTCCAGATATTTGATGAGCTCATTGTTGATGGCTTCCTCCATCACTTTGGAGATGACTGATAACAGGGCGATTGGCCTATAGTTGTTGGGTTTTCTTTTCTGGGGATTGGTTGGACTCAAGCTATTATCCAGCAAGATGGAAAAATACCCGACTTGTAGGAGATGGTAAAGTGCTTGCAGAGAATTGGTGTCAAATTCTGGTGCACACTTTCTGAGAATGAAGGGTGAAATTCAATCAGGATAATTGAACTTATTCGTCTTGAGACCTAGCAGAATGCGTCTGATAGTGCGATTACGAAGGACAATTTCGGGCATTCGACTTTCATTGGGTGGAATGTCTGACGGTATTCTTCCCTGGAATTCAAGGTGGAGTTTGCTGCGAACATCTCTGCAAAAATGTTCGCTTTTTCTGACGATTTTGTTGCCAATGTGCCGTCGGCTTTGGAGGATGGTGGGAAAGAACTATTAGTGAAATCCTACTGCTTCAGCAAGAGACCAGAACGAACGGGAGCCCTTGGGACAATCTATGATTCTTTTGATGCATCTATCGTTTGGCTGCAGTAATTCCTTGTTTCAACTTCGTTGCGCCAGCGATGGTAGGCTGTTTGTTTCAAGGCAACAACTCTAGAACAGTTCTTGTTGAACCATGCAGGGTTTCGAAGCTGATGGTCTTTTCGAGGAATGAGGTATGTATGTGTGTCCATTCCAATCGTGATGATCTCGGATATTTCTGCGGACCACTGTGAAGAGTTTTGATAGTCGAAGCATATTCTATGCCAAGGAAACTCGGAGAGAAACATGCAGAGACTGTCCCAGTCTCCTGAGTTATGATGCCATACAAGACGTGGGGGGGGCTGGAGTAGTTGATGGAATGAAGAATGGGCAGGTTGTGGGGTGAGTGTGTGATCAGAATTGCCAAGTGGATTCCGAATGATTGTTAACGTCAGGAATTTGTGTAGGTTCCCTGACAAGCTGCTGTAAGCCGTGGGTGATGGCAAAAGCTTCGGCTTGTCGCCCAGTTTAATCCGTTTTGTTGGAAGCAACCAAACCGTTCAAAAAAAATCTTAAATATTCCAATCAATTGGTGAGATCCTGAAAGCGAAGGAAGAAGATAATATTTGACTAATCGGATTTTCAGTGGCGCTGTAGGGGGAATATCACTTTTAATAATTCAGTGAAAAATAAGCAATGAAGGAAAATTTACAAATTTCATCCAGAGGTATAAAAGTCAATTTAATTTCAGACGCAACATTTTCGAGAAGAAACGGAAAATCGAGAGAAGACTGTTTACTCCATCAAGACATCCGTTCAGATTCCTGGATCACAATCATGTAACATCTTGCAATCATTGCATTTCAATTTCAGTCACATAATGGACTGAATTTTGCCATCATGGAAAGCTATACAGGGTGGACTGGAGAATAATCAATATAAGCACATTTGAGTCCAAGAATCGGCCCCTCGAATATCAACATGTCATTGAGGAACACCCTGTATATTCGCATTAATGTAGGTAATATCATTGTAGCTGTGGAATATTGAGTTATCGATCCATTTTTAATTCAGATACTCATCGTCTCCATGATGCATAAATTATTCGCAAAAAATTAAATATTCAAATAAACACCACCTTGACATTCATATAATGCGTCATATCTTTTCAAATCAATAGAACTAGGACGGTATCGGGGCGTCCCAAAATCATGAAAATTTAAGGAATAATAGTGTCATTTCAATTTTGAGTGGATGATCCAGATTTTTCGGACATCCTGTATACCAATGTGTAGATCCAATTTTCCCGAACTAATGGTCGAAGCGTTTGGTCACGTGAGTTGGATCAATTTGTATAGCTCTTATACACAAAAGCACAGAGTGAACTAAATGGTGTCAATGAACTTTCAGAACTTACATTATAGGTATTGATATAAGAATAGAACTAACATCAAAACGTAATTTCAACATTACCTACCTCAAATGAGTTCTTCTTGAGAATTATACTTATGAAACGCATTGAAGTTGTACCTATTCAACATGCATAAAGATTTGCTTCAAAGCACATGGTCATGAAAATGAATAAAATCAATCAATCGTTTATGATAGTGAAGCTAGTATTCTTGAGATTTGCCATTATCAATAATTAAGTACCTATAGGTAAGTAGCTATCGATGCCTATGTTGTCAATACGCTTTTTACAGACCCCAATTTTGGAAAAACACTTTGGACTGTCAAATGGGGATTCGCAAGATATGAATTATACATACACTGGGTGACCAGTTATATTCTGACCTATTTCAAATGCTCATATCTCTGAAACCACTCAAGTTATCGTTGTGCGGTTTGGACTAGTCTATTTTGATGTTTTTCAAGTTTTTTTTGACTTGAACTTCCGGTTCTACCGGGAACAAACAAGCAATAATCCAGGTATAGGTCTACTTTTTTATTTCATTGAATCACCCTGTATATTTTTGCACATTCAGAAAGACTGGTCTTTTCTCTATCTAACAATGTTTTACAAGTTATGTTCTCCTAGAAAACTATTAGAGTTATAACTCTTTGAAACAACTACTGCTTGTGGAATGGTTTAATGAGATTATGCAATGTTATCAAAGTTGCCCTATACCTACCTGAATAATGGCTTGTTTGTTTCCGGTAGAACCGGAAGATCAGGTGAGAAGGTGAACCAGTCAAAAAACTTGAAGAATATCAAAATAGAGAAGTCCATACCGTACAGCGATAATTTGAATAGTTTCGGAGATATATGAGCGCAGTTGAAATGGGTCAGAATATAACTGGTCACCTGGTATGAATATTATGAATCTGGCGTAATGAATCTGGAAACTGTAGATATTACTTCATCAGTAATATGGGATATAACTATCGATACATTAACTTGGATATTTTAAATTCATTTCGTTTCAACTAACAGATGTGGTTGGCTATCACTAATGAGTTGTTTTTTGTATCGATTTCTCCAACGGCCAACTTAGTAGAGATATACATCTTCCACCGTTATCACATTGTGGACATTTCATTAATCTCTATTTATATATTTATGTATCAAAAAATAACCCCCATTTTTCATTGAGAATGTCTCGGTATTCAACTGTTAAAAAAAGTCAACGGTAGTACAATTTTTATCTACATTTGATTTTGTCACCCATTTCCCCTTAGTTCTATTAAAGCAACTGGACATTCATCGAATGTGAAAAAAGGCAAATAATAAGTGCGTTTTCATTGGCAACAAGTAGCTATATAGGAACCATGCGTGCAGTTGGCATATAGTATAGTATAATCAGCAAAGCATCATCTGTGGAATGAAAAACAAAACTCTCAGCAGCTAAAATAAACTCTTTATTTGAGTCACCATAGAATGTGCGTCCAGAATAAAACCAATTTATTCTCAAAAACAACGACTGAATTCAAAAATAACACAAACTCACTTTGTTAATCGGTCGCAATCCCAGTGTTATATCTGTTGTTACTATCTAAAATACATTCATGTAAACGAACATGGATGTCGACTCAAATTGCGTGGAAAGTATGAAAACTTCTTTTCTGTTTGTCTCAATATGCACTAGTGGACGATAGGATCCTATTATCGTATGGCCACGTAATTTTCTTCATCGTTGAACGGCGCATACTCGTAGAAATAAATACCGTATAGCAACACTCATCTAAGCTGCTCAACACTCCCAATGTGTGATTTCGTATTCCGTCACTCAATCATCGATCATTCCAACAAATCAAGGGTGAGTTGATAAACCGACAAGGCCGAGATATTATCAACGTACCTATACGGGGCGTTTTTGAAATGAGTACATATATTCCGCACATATCAATAGGAAACAGTCTAAGGAATATTCCCATGATATTAAATTTTTTTAATTTTTCCAATTAACAAGAAATTTCATTCCGAAAATTGAACAAAAAACGGGAAAGAATAAAACCCCTGAATATGCTTTCCGCACGGAAATTTATACAGAGGTGGAGTCAGAATGGCTAAAATGTAAAATTTTGGGTGGGAAAAAGGGGTCTCACCCCAAATCTTTTTTTGATCCCTAACTTTTTTTATTGGTGTTATTCGATAGTACACGTCAACTTTTCTTAGGGTTTGAAATATTTGCACTTATTTCAATATCACCCTGTATATCTCCTATGAAATAGTTTCTGCTACATATTATCTCATTATTGAAAATTATTTACAGCTTGAAAATAATCCACCTTCACCAAGAGACAAGAAGAATGAATTGAATGCCGATGCTCTTGGGATCAACCTAAATGACGGTACGGGGTCCCCAATCGAATATATTATTATTTGTAAATATTTATATGTATTTCAATAAAGGAATCAAACTGATGTATTTTGAACACAGTTTATTTCATTAAAAGTTCATATAAACTGGTCAACTTCTAGTATACAAACTAACAAAAATAATTTGTTCTACTCACATAACCAAAATGGTATTTAGATATGTAGGTACCACACTAAATAATCGATTGATGATCTGTGTGATTTATTCAAAAAATTAAACACGTTACCATGACAACACATTTTCTTAAACACAGTACCATGGCAACAGAGTTTTTTATATAAACCTTCAGTCGTTTGAATCCTATCCTGTCCGGCCTGTCAAATGTAGGAGCTGTCAACTGTCATTTTGGGATTTTGTTGCAATTAGAATCATTCAATAAATTTCTGTTTGCATCAGAAATTGTTATCAAAAATGTATGCGAAATATAGGCGATAATGAAATCGAAGGGAATGTTTTAGGTAATTGCACATGTCCAGGAACGCTGTGTAAAAATGAAGGTCTCATTTTTGTGGGCAATTCATTCTTTAGTGCTGAATGCTAAATGATAATAAACGTTGAACACTATGTTTATGTGAGCAAAATTATGCAATCCAGAATAATATGGATACAAACCTGATGAGAAATCGAAAACTTCAACGAATCGAAGAGTTTTTATCTTCTATGTCACAAAGGTCACTATAAGTCTCTGCTATAAGCAAGATATTCATGTATCCTAACCTAACCTGGTCACATCTACAACCAATATAACTCATACGTGTCTCGTTGGTTGCATGCAGTTGCATAGTATATTATGTAACGCGTTTATAAACCCTTCTAGACACTCGTTATTTGAACACTCGCTCTGCTGTGGTCGTGCTTAAAATACTCGTTGCTAAAAGGACGTTTATATCACTTGCACATAATATACTATTATAAGACAAAAAAATCGACTCTTCTTCACTTTCATATAATCAACATCGATGTCCAAATTGTCTACTAAACCTTCGAGTACTTTTTATGAAGTGACCTGATTAGATCCCTGTCGTGGTTCATTTTGACCGAAGTTACTATGATACAACGATAAATTCGAATTATCTCTGAAAATCGCAGTTTGGAAATTGCAAATCTGTTTTTTTTTAATATTGGTTTAGGTCCTAACAACATTTCAAGAATTCAGAACGACCGGACCATTTGCAAGCACGACCCCCTTTTCAAGTTTAACTTCACTGAACTACTTTTTTTTTTTTTATCGATTGGAGCGCACGAAAGGGAATCCCTATAATGTTCAAAGAACATCGTGCGTTCCTAGGGGGGATAGGGACAGGAGGTAGGTATTGGAATTTTTTTTGAATTTTTGGAGATTATATGTTGTTGGGAATACTTCCACAGGCAATGAATTCTAGAGCCTAGCCGTTCTATGGATGAAGGAGTCTTGATAAAGTGCTGTTCGACATCTTTCGAGGTTGACGACGTAAGGATGTGCTGACTGGGCTTGTCTAGTTCGTCTGATTGGTATTGCTAGTGAAGGGATGATTGCAGAGATTTCCGAAGAACATTTCCCGTGGAAGTATCGATAGAAAAGTGAAAGGTCGCCGACCTTTCTACGGTGTTCCAATGATGTCAAAGAGTGAGTGAGTGTGGCGTCACCCACCAGGCGAATGGCTCTTCTCTGGATGGAATCTAAGAGCATCAGCGTATGTTTTGGTGCTGAACCCCATATGTGGGAACAGTATTCTAGAACAGGCCGTATCTGCGCTTTGTAGATCATGAGAAGCTGTTGAGGTGTAAAGTAGCTTTTCGCACGGAACAAGAATCCGAGTTTTTGTGAAGCAGCTTTTGCGATGGATCTGACATGATTATCCCATGAAAGAGTGTTGCTGATGGAAATACCGAGCATAGATATGGTGGGCTTGGTGGGGATGGTGGAGCCAGACATTACAATATCGGACATGTAAGTTTTTGATAACGGAAATAAAAAGATCATTGATTTATCGTTGAGTTGGTCCCTTGACTTTTTTTCGTATCTTAAATAATAATAGTAGGGGAAGCTTGTCCAAATTCAATCATTTTGAGCTCGTTTGGAAGATAATTTAACCATTGTCGATCTAAATGAAAACCTAGGAGGCGACCTCTAGTGCGAGGAAGTTATTAAAGCTCCTGCCTACTAACTTCCTAACTAGGTTGTCATCTAGCACGACAATGATTTAACACTTATTCAAAAACTGATTTTGTTAACGGTCACTAGTTCATATCGCGTCTAGAGGGCGTCGTTTAACTACTATTCGATTGTTTTGGATTTTCTCGAAAAGTTAAAATAGAATGATTCGTGTTTGCATCATTGCTCTGAAGGGCATAAAAATTGCTACATTTTGGCGCAAGTCGCGATTCAATATCTTCATGTATCTTTGAATTATTTGCAAATATCTAATTTCGTATTGAAAAGTCATGTCATATTTTGAACAAATTAATTATTTATTCACTTCCATCGTGATATCTGTGCAAATAAATGTACCGGGTGTACCACTAAGGAAGGACGCCGGCTGTATCTCGGAAACTACTTGCCGCACAGGTTTCGGAAAAAAATATTTATTATAAAAGTGGCCCAGAAAAATCTCTGGAAATTATTTTCATGTCTCCAGGACAGCCGCTAGACGGCATAATTGCATTGGCCAACTTAAAAAACGGGTTTTTATGAAAATTTGATATATCAAGACATATCAGAAACACTCTTTCCATGTTCTCGAGTTGATTTCCAATCATTACAATCAAAAAAAAAATAGCGCTAGCTCTTTAAATAAAAGAGGGAGGGAAGGATGAATAGTACTCTGGAAAAACAAGGGTTTTTCCATATCTTCCCAATAAATCACGAATCAAGTCGATTTAAATTCCGTGGTGGCCGCTAGATGGCATCGTTTGAAAAATCAGCCGATTCGCTATTTTTTTCGAGAGATTCAAATGGAACCATATCTTTTTCCTGCTATGATATGAAAGTTGAGTAAACGAGAAGAAAAATGGTGGAAACCGCGAGTTGATACCTCTTGAAGAACCGGAGAAATACTCGGAATAATATCAAAATTTGAACTGTTAGCATGTCAAATGCCTCCTCATTCGTTATCGGCATTTTGACAAATAAGCAATCCACAATGAACAGTGAAAACTTCCAATGGTACTTCAATTATATTTTGACATTTATTCTTTCATTCAAATTAGCTATGTCATTACTAAGAGTCTTCTTCCCTATTGTGAGATATAATAGCAGTTTGTGAAACCAAAATGAATGAATTATTGAAATCATAATTTCATAGATACAGGATATTTCTGATTACGATTATTGAAGTTAGATTCCTGTGGTGAATATTTTCATAATATTATTTCGAGTATTTCACCGGTTCCTCAAGAGGTATCAATTCGCGGTTTTCACCATTTTCCTTTTCGTTTGCTCTACTTTCATATTAGAGTAGAATGAATATATGGTTCCATTCAAAATTTTCGAAAAAAATGGATAATTGTCTGATTTTTAAAACGTTGCCATCTAGCGGCCACCACAGGATTTAAATCGACTTGATTTATGATTCATCTGGAAGGACCAAGAAAACCCTTCATAATGAGACCAAGATCGTTGAATTCTGTTACACCAAACTGTAGTGATGAGAGTTTTTTCAAAGTACCATTCATCCTTCCCCCCTCTTTCATTAAAAGAGCTAGCGCATTTTTTTTTTGATCGAAATGATTAGAAATCAACTCGAGAACATAAAAAAAGTGTTTTTGATATGTCTTGATATATCAAATTCAAATAAAAACCCGTTTATTAAACTGGCCAATGCAATTACGCCCTCTAGGGGCTGTCCTGAAAACTTGAAAATAATTTCCAGAGATTTTTCTTGGCCACTTATATCATGAATATTTTTTTCCGAAACCTGTGGGGCAGATAGTTTCCGAGATACAGCCGGCGTTGTTTCTTAGTGGTAGGTACACCCGGTACGTCAACCCTGTTGATTACTAAGCAACCTTCATGTTTAGCTAGTTTGAAATTTGTGCTTTTGAAGTTTATTATTTAAAATTGTCTTATCCCGCGGTACGGGAAGCTTATAATGACATGATGAATGTTTATTTTCGATTTTTTGAAAATGTTGCAATGGCAGAAAGAGTATACGCACCTGACTATCCTATGATATTAGGAATCATTTCCCAATTAGGTAGACGACTCTGCGGAAAACAGATAAAATTCATCCTATTCCACCACCCATAATAAATGAAACTTTCTCAATATA